CTGTACCCCTCTAAGGCTGTGGCTCTTAGGTTACATTTATATGATAACGGTGTGAACACAAGAAGCAAAAGTGGCGTCGTGTATTCACTTTTTATTGCGCGTTTAGACGAGTGTTTTCGGGAAGAAATCTGCGTCCATACGGTGATGCAAAAGTGTGTGAAATTCGATTAGATATGCATGTCAGGAGGCTAGGTGATGATGTATGTGACGTAAACGCCTATGCATATGCATATGGTTGGGCAGTGTAGACGGAAACACTACAGAGGTTCGTATTCAACTTTTCCACTCTGAACGATGTTTTTTGAGTTTTTAAGCCCTAAAAACACAGTCACAGTCTAAACGAAAGGCACTTCCGATAAAATATTTTGCCGTTTTTACCCGCAAGCGTTCTCGTGTAAACAGGCCCTCATATTACATTTTTCATGAGTGCTAAAATGAGTAGCTCTCTGGCAGTTTCGTTTTGTAAAGATAACTCACCGGAGGAAAAAGGTTGGAGACCTGTGAACTGAACAAATACAAATAGAAAAGATCGAAAAAAAAAAGTTAGAATTAGGGATGGGCATGATTAGTCAATTAATCGATAATTGATCATTAAGAATTTCATCGATTACGTTCATTTTAATCGACAAACCGACTGTAGGTTGCTGTGTGTGGCGTGACCAAACGGGGGTCCGTACATGTAGCTCTCTGCACTGAGCAAACAGTCGGTCAGCCTGCAAATGCGTATTTAACGATGACTTGTATAAGAAATTCCACTCTTTCCGTTTGGGACAAGTGGGAGGCCATGTGCACAGTGTATAAAGCAGCACATATGTTTCAGTGTCCAGTGGGAAAAAGCTCACCAGAACATCGGTTTATATGTCGTAAAGTTGAATATATTTATGCAGATTAGTAGTGCAGATAGTAATAATAATGATGATAATTTTTAATATAAAAAACGTTAATGATTAATCGATAATCAATCGTTAATTCTCCTGACGATCGATTAAGAAAATTTAATCGAATGCCCATCCCTAGTTAGAATAAAATGTTTTTAGACTAGTTTTAAGCTCACTGTACTTTATTATAAGTTTGTGAAATCCATTTTGATTTCACCGTATGGCATTATCTATCTATGCTGCCAGGTCAAGCTACAGGTCAGATCTGTGGAGAGGCGACCCCACTCACGGTAAGAATATTTTCCAAGGCATTTTAAGAAAACGGGGGTTACGCAAAATACTTTTTGGAGCTTTCTACCATGATACATCCATGCATCTTTGAGCGCTGTGGTGTGATGGCGCTCTGAAGGGGGAGTGACTCAGCGTGGGGAGCAAAGGGACTGTCAGCGTCACGTTACAAATGCATTGTTTTCGTCGATCGTAGCATTTTTAAACAATCAAAGGTAACATGGTGACCGATGAAAAAAAACAAAAGACACCCATAATTGGTAAACGCAAGACACGTACGTCCAATGGTGTGCAATGTTTAATGCTCACCAGAGTTAATTAAAAGTTTGTGGAGTCCATTTCCTCCCCCTCCCCCTTGTTTTCGTAGCTAATTAGCATGAGTCCTTGGTTAGTTGCTAACATCGCCGCGTGTCCCATGGTCCTTTAGCGCAGAGCTCAATGAGTGGCACCTTGAATTTGGACTTTGAATCCTTGAGGAGATTTAGAAGGATGTAAAAATGTGTTCAGCCAAGCGCGGAGGAGCCATCAAGGACTCTGAGTAAAAGTTTGTGAAGGAGGGAGGGAAATACAATAACTTTTGATAGAAGGAAATCAATTCTAAACCAAATGCTGATGTTTTTTATGATGTGATAAAGCCAACTGGAACACGTAAAGACTGTGGATACATAGACATGAAAACTGCACTGAACCAGGACTAAACCAGGACTAAACTAGGACTAAACCAGGCCTAGCTCACCCATGAATCAACAAAGTCTAACTCAGAACTAAACCATGTCTCCCCCAGGTCTAACCTAAAGATACTGAACACTACAGATCCAAGAACATCTGCACTAAACCAACTCTAACCCAGGACTAAACCAGGACTAAACCAGGACTAAACTGGGACTAAACCAGGACTAAACCGGGACTAATTTAGGACTAAACCCAGACTAAACCAGGACTAAACTAGGACTTAAGCACCTCTAATAGATATTAACCTGCAGACCCCAAGAATTACACAAAACCAAGAAGTAATCACTGGACTGAACCAGGATTAAACCAGATCTACATCAGATCTAAACAAGGGCTAAACCAGAACTAAACCAGGTCTAACTAAGGACTAAACTAGGCCTTAAGCAACATAATAGATATGCGCTACTACCGACCATAAACACCTCACAAGAACTGCAATAAACCTGGACTAAACCTGGACTAAACCAGGACTAAACCAAGTCTAAACTAAGGACTAAACCAGGTTTTACCAAGACTAAACTATAGGTAAATTAGGATTAACCTGGTCAAAACCAGCACCAGGAACACCCAACAAGAGGTTCAAATAAGAACTAAACCAGGATTAACCCAGGAGTGAATCAGGTCTAATCCAGGTCTAAACCAGGACTAAACCAGATCTAAACTAGGACTAGGAACAACCAACAAAAACCTCACTAAATAAAGACTAAACCAGGATTAACCCAGTGCAACTACCCAGGAGTGAATCAGGTCTAAACCACGTCTAAACCAGGACATACCCAGTACTGGACCAGATCTAAACCAGGACTAAAGCAGGTCTAAAGCAGTACTAAACCAGATCCTAGACAGATCTAAAGCATAAGCACCTGTGACCCTGCAGTCTTCTATATGTTTGAGCAGAGAGCCCTGAGCAGCTGGTGTGTCTGCACTGTCTCGAGGTGTCCAATGGGAAAAGTGCCAAAGTGAATAATGGTGGTGCCCTCTCACTCTCACCTCTGTCACGGTTTGAAAGTGAATTGAGATTTTTGTGCATCAGTCAAATGAACGTCCTTGACCAGAAGTGTCTTTCTCCTGATAGTTTAAACTTTGGAAAAAAACAAAGAGTGTGTGTGTGTGACAGATATAGTATTGTTTTGATGGACAACCTGACTGCCATGGAGAGTTTTCTTGTCACTATCAGTCTAGGACAAGAATTTACAATGGAAAACAAAACAAATCATGTAACTTTTCTGTTGGAGGGCTTGTCATCTACAAGTCTCAATGGAGATGATACTCCTTAGCCAGCAATGTTCCACAGTAAGGCATTAAATTTTATTTCCTTGGAGAGAAGAAATTTGACCCCATCAGGAAAAGTTATACAGGTCAGACCTGTGGAGAGGCGACCGCACTCACTGCAAGAATGCATATTTTCTAAAGTAATCTATTAATAAAACCAGGACTAAACCAAGACTAAAGCAGAATCTAACCAGGACTAAACCAAGACTAAAGCAGAATCTAACCAGGACTAAACCAAGACTAAAGCAGAATCTAACCAGGACTAAACCAGAACTAGACCAGGGCTAAACCAGGTCTAAACCAGGACTAAAGCAGAATCTAATCAGGACTAAACCAGGACTAGACCAGGTCTAAACCAGGATTAAACCAGGTCTTACAAAGGAATATATAGTATAGTATATATTATATACTATACTGTATATTAGTAAGCTATATTAAGTTTAATGCCATAAAGTGAAACATTCCGGGCAAAAAAAAATAACTTCTCCATGACTATTGATTTGAAAGGACTCCACACTTACATATAACATGAAAACAATGGGAGATAATGAAAGATAATGACATGTAAACTTGTTGGGTTTGAATTGTAATGAATGGTGACATTAGACAATTGTGTATCTGTTCTTATTGTTCACTAATATAACACTACCTGATTGGAAAGTTATATTTCATTTTTATATTTAAATAAATAGCAACAGAACAATTATTTACTTACAGTACCGTTCAAAAGTTTTAGAACACCACGCTTTTTCCAGTTTTTTACCGTTTACTGTTTACTGTTGACCAAAACTTATTCTCTTTTGATTCATCAAAGTGTCCACCTTTGACAGATATAACAGCTGAACACACTCGTGGCTCGTTCTTTTTACAATAGAAATCAAATATTCTTCAGAAAGTTCTTCCCAAGTCTATAGCAGAAGTTCCCATAAATGTGTGGCACTTGTAGGATGCTTGGCTTTCACTCTTCTGTCCAGTTCATCCCAAACCAGTTCGATGGGGTTTAAGTCTGGAGACTGTGCTGGACACTCCAGGTTTTCAAGCTCACCATCTTGTTCTTTTTTTCCTGAGGTAGTTTTGGCAGAGCTTGGACTTGTGTTTTGTTATCTTTTATCTTTTTTTTTAACCTCTGTCTATTGAGTACTTACTTTTCTGTCATTTCAAGCTTTTCATTGGACTTGCACGACTTGAATTGCAATAAATAACTGGAAAAATTAGGGCCTTCTAAAACTTTTGACAAACGGTAGTGTATATTTGTCTGGATCCAAAACTTGTTTCTCGTTGAGTAAAGCTGGTGTGCTTGTTTAGCATTATCTCTCATTATCTGGTCTCTGCAAGTTGTGAAAAGCACTTATAAACTCATCATGGTGAATAATTTGGAATCTTGAAATGCATCAGGTAAGTGAGGAATAACTTTGGACCACTGCAAACTTACGCAAAATTGACTCTTGTGAGCTTTTAGCCACATTAGAATGCTGTTACCTCCTCAAAAACAGACCTGGAGTTGTTTTGTTTCATTCACACGTGTTTTAGTAACCCTTTATTATTAGTCTGTCTACATCTCCAAAGCTCAAAATGCTCTGTTCCACCTTGTGATGTCATGAAGCAGTAGTTTTCAAGTTGAATGAATGTGAAGTGTGAATGAAACAAAACAACTCCAGGTCTGTTTGTGATGAGGAAACAACATTATAACATAGATCAGAAGATAACGTAGTATAGACGCTTTCATTTTTCAATTTTTGCATTTTTTTTATTCACTGGACATAAGTTACGGTTCTTTTAATATCCAAAAAGTCATTTCTGTATTGTTTGAGTATTGGTTTGTGTACAGACCTGGTATCTCGTTGCAGTCTCTCCTCTGGGTGCTGTTGCCGACGCAGGGAGTCCCGTTCTGAGAGCCACAAACTCTGCTCCTCATCTGAAGACCTGAGTCATCACACGCAGACCACAGAGACCACGCCATCCAACCGCCTAGAGAAAGAGAGAGAAGAAATAGGGAGAGGTACAGAAATGCAGTGAGAAAGAAAGTGATAGAGAGAAGAGAGGGAGACAGACGGAAGAGAAATACAGTGAGAGGGAAAAGAGAAAGACAAAGAGAGAAGAGAGAGACAGAGAAACAGATAAAGAGAAAGACAGAGAGATAGAGAGAGACAGAGAGAGAAGAGAGAGAGAAAGACAGAGACAGAAGAGAGAGAGACAGAGAGACAAAGAGAAAGACAGAGAGATAGAGAGAGAGACAGTGAGAGAGGAGAGAGAGACAGAGAGAGAGAGAGAGAGAGAGAGAGACAAAAAGAAAGACAGAGAGAGAAGAGAGAGAAACAGAGAGAGACAAAGAGAAAGACAGAAAGACAGATAGAGAGAGAGACAGTGAGAGAGGAGAGAGACAGAGAGAGAAGAGAGAGACAAAAAGAAAGACAGAGACAGAAGAGAGAGAGACAGAGAGAGACAAAGAGAAAGAAAGCGATAGAGAGAGATGCAGTGGGAGAGGAGAGAAGAGAGACAGAGAGAAGAGAGAGACAAAAAGAAAGACAGAGAGATAGAGATAGATAGATAGATAGATAGATAGATAGATAGATAGATAGATAGATAGAGAAAGACATAGAGGGACAAAGAGAAAGACAGAGAGATAGAAAGAGAGACAGTGAGAGAGGAGAGAGAGACATAAAGAAAGAGAGATAGAGATAGATAGAGACAGAGAGAGAGACAGAAAGAGAAAAAGAGAAAGACAGAGAGATAAAGATAGAGACAGAAACAGTAAAAGAGAAGAGAGAGAGACAGATAGAGAAGAGAGAGAGAGAGAGAGAGAGAGAAGAGAGAGAGAGAGACAGTGAGAGAGAAGAGGAAGAGGGAGACAGAGAAAGACAAAGAGAAAGACAGAGACAGAGAGAGACAGTGAGCGAGAAGAGAGAGTGAAGAGAGGGAGACAGAAAGAGACAGACAGAGGGAAGAGAGAGTGAGAGAAGAGAGAGAGACAACAAGAAAGACAGAGAGAGAGAGAGAGAGAGAGAGAGATTTGAGATTAATAAAAGCGTCAATGCAACAAGATTTTCCAAGACAGGAAACCCCAAAGATGATGCATGAAGAAAACCTGTGAGTGTGATTTCCACTGAGTCGTACACTATGGGTCAAGATGGAGGGGCACTATTTGATACAAGGAGTGGCAGAGTGGTTATCCTGTCTCTCTCTCAGTAAGGAGGTTGTGGGTTTGATTCCTTTAAGATCCTTTTAACCATATTGATTCATATTTGACAATGGCAGTGCTTTCAAAAGTACCACCCTGACCCATTCCACACGACTCAATGGAGATCTAAAGCACCGAGTTATTTGCAGTGTCTCAGATTAAAATCTGTCACCAAAACAAGACCCAAAGAACAGGAAAAAACCCAGATTATGCCTTTAATTTGTTTAGTTCTTAGAGCTGGGTAGACAGAGGAGGAGCAGTGGAAGCAGATCATTGGTCCAAGTTCAAACCAGGACTTTTTACCTTCAGGATCAGGATTTTCTGAGTCCACAGTCTGAGCCTGTCTCACCACACAACCTTACACACAAAACACCAGCTGTTTCAGGTACAATACATGAGCAAAAAAACTAAACAAAACAAAAACAAACAAACAATCACACCAAGGATAACACTGTTATAAATAATGATTACTGTATTTGTCGGACTATAAATTGCTTTGGATTATAAATTGCACCAGCCGAAAATGGTTGATTTTAATGAAGAAGAAGAAAAAAAACATATATAAGTCACACCAGACTATAAGTCATACTTTTGGGGGGGAAATTATTTTATAAAATCTGAGACCAGAAAGCGATATTTCTCCTTGAAAGGCAAGTTATAGTAATAACAATAGAACAGAGAACCAGGCTGTTAATGTAATATACAAGTTTACTAAACTCTCCATCTCACTCCAAATCTCTAAATCCACTGAATTCCTCATCCTCAGCATCAGTTCCAGTTAGAATTATTCCGGCCTTTCTGAACCCCAACAGAATGGTTTCTGTTGTCACTGAAGTCCAGGCTTTGTCAATTCATCCAATGTCTTCCAGGAAAGTTGCATGGTCCATCCTCCAGATTGTCACAAGTTTCTCTCTCACTCCAAACTTTCTTTCTTCTGCTCGATTACCGTTTTCGGCTGCAGATTTCGCTACTTGCATCTTGTAATCTGCAAAATATTATTTAGTTTTTGGGGGCATTTGTGTTCAGTCTTGTCTTCAGTAATAATCTTAATAAGTTTAAATTTTAAAATTTCAGTGGTACAGAAGTAATAGTGCGATCGACTGACATGATACAGACAGGAGAGAGGCTCTTTCTGCAGGAGACATACACAATAGAGTGCGAAGTGACAGTGGTATAGGAGTAATAGTCGTAGCAGATACTGACACACAAGCCTAGAGCGCCCTCTTATGGCTGTAAGTGTGAACATTTTAATATATAAGTCGCACCGGAGTGTAAGTCCCAGGACCACCCAAACCATGAAAAAAGTGTGACTTACAGTCTGAAAAATACTACAGTTAAAAGGCAAAATATGCAAAATAAAGTCACAAGTCAGTGACTTTCAAGTCCAAGTCAAGTCCCTAGTCTTTGTCCATTTTATCAAGTTAAGTCTCAAGTCCTAAAAATAGTGACTCAAGTCTGACTTAAGTCCAAGTCATGACACGCAAGTCCCCACCTCTGCTATACTAAATGAACTTATGTGAGTTTCAAGCCATGTGACCTCCACAAAAACATACCTGAAGCTGTGTTTTGTTTCATTCACACATTTGAGTAATCCTTTATTATCAGTCTGTCTACATCTTCAAAACTCAAAACACTCTGTTCCACGTTGTGATGTCAGAAGTAGTTTTTAAGTTAACAGCTCCTTTTACCTGTAGTTCAGTAGAGATTGGCAATTCCAGGGCTGAAATCAACCAAATGCTTCTAGTGAAGGTGCATTCTAGTGAAGTGTTTTCAGTTTGAGAGAAAAACTCAGCATAAATATGCAGGGTTTGTGTGTTAAACATGTGTGATGCTTGTGATGAGGAAACATTATAACATAGATGAGAAAGTAGCGTAATGTGGGCCCTTTAAGCACCAACAAAATCAAATGTAAAACCGAGCTGACGTTTGTTTCTCTCTCCTCAGAAGTTTCATGTGACATTTTTGGCGTGAGTCTATTTCCATATAGTGCCAGATGTTTCATAACCGTGCATTATGACGGACTGCCATAATTGCTTCATTTATTTTCATTTATTTGAGTCCCGGATGAAAAAACGGCGGCGCGTTCGCATGCAGCCCACGTAATCCCTCCAATGTCGGCCATTACTGCTCCAGCTTTAATCAAATGACCTGATTTAAATTTTGCAGTGACTGACAGAAGACGTGGATATAATTATACAGAGGAAACAGAAGCAGAGGACCCCACGGATGTCCACCTATTTGCCTGTCAATAAATGCAATTACCCCGACTGGAGGAGCACTATTTGAAATGGGATTTGTCATTGAGTATGTAAATATGTCCAGGAAAGCCCAGCAAATACAAGGGTGACCGGCAAGTTCGAATGAAATCAATGCTTTTAGTCACTTTCTATAGTAAGTCATTTGTAACAAGATGTAAAATATTGATACTTGGAAGCTGATGTCATTAATATTGCCTGAGAGTGTGAAGCTAACTGTAGGCACTACTCGATCTGAGACCTGTTAGACTTGAATCTGAACTTTGTTTTAACAGAATTTGACTTAACTTCAACAGGTGAGCTGATTTGTGAACTGTTAAACAAATCTCTCACAAATAAAATTACAGTCACAAGCAAGGGCATAGGTTATTTGGGGAAAATAAAATAGTCCCTACCAATATTTGCCATTTTAATTTAATAAACAAAAATACACATTTATTCTGATATTTTTTCAAACTCAGTAGTATTAACTGAACAGGTTTAGTTCACATTTAGTTTATTAGATGTTCTGAGATGTATTCAGTGATATGACGACAGGGTTACTCCTGTCGCTATATCATTGACTGTAACAGAGTGATGTCATTAGTGGTGCCAGGAGCCTAAACTGGGGAAGCGGCAGGACAGGGCCGCACCTGAAGATGTGGACTTGAGCAGGAGTAAGTAGTGACGGGCAAATGAGACGGAGCTCCGGAGAATGTCTCGTTCTTTCTGAAACAAATTGCTCTGAAGCACTGCCTCGGAGCTCGTCTCGCAGCAGCCGCTCACGTGACCAACGTCTCGAAGTGTCGGTCCCTCCCCCTACTGCTTCGCTCTGCGTGTCAGTCGCTTCAGTGTATCGAAGCGTTTCATTGGCTCGGCGAATGTTCCGCTCTGCGATTGGTTCAGAGTGCTTCAGAGTGTTCAGTGCGCTAAACTGCTACTGTATAAAAGATGCACCAATATTTCTTAAAAATGTTGGGTAGTGAGGAGTATTGTGTGACGTTAGTGGTGATTTTGGTGACTTTTGGCATTTGATTCATTTTCGATTGCATCTACAAGTGGAAAAAAAGCGATCCATGGTTTGGGATCACTTTGATCTAATTCCACCTAACAAGGTCACCTACTTTCTTATTTACAGCTATTTATGTTGCTCTTTACACATTATTTTAAATCACCATTATTACTGTTGTTGTTAGGTACGGTGTATGATCTGCACACAAGTATTGTCTTACACTAACAATACTTCATCGATGCTGAGACACCTGCGTGCCAATGGTTAAATTTGTCCACTAGAGGTCAATGTTTCTCCGAGGCCTCAGACACGTCGAACCGTTTGAGACAATATTGCGACTGAGGTGTCAGTGCTTCACGAGGCTCCATTCACCCATCACTAGGCGTGAGTGAAGACGCTGCGCACCAAACTTTGAAAAACTTTTCAAAAGGAACTTCATTGGCTTCATCTTCAATTTGCCTTATAATTTGCCAAACTTGCCTTAGAATGAGTCGCCGCGGAAAAAGAGCGACTATCACCACAAGTGCTCCTCCCAAACGGAGCC